ACATGCCGGGGAACACAGCAATGTGGATGATGCATCCTTGTGGGTGTAAAACAGAAACATATAGACCAAATAGGATCTCTAACCATCAAGGAAAAATACTACATGAGGTGACAGAGTACGAGGAAGTTTCCAGGAGGAAATAGTTGAGGGACAGTAGCAAATGAGGGCATGAAGACAACGATCCCATGGAATGATCTGGGGAAGGCAACTGTAAACAGCCGGAAAAGAAAATGCAAAGGTCCTGGGGTAGAGCAAACCCTCGGATGTTTGGGAACAGGAAGAAAGCCAGTAGGACTGGGGCCACATGAGCCAGAAGAGAACAGGAGAGATGAGACCAGAACGCTCCGAGGGCCAGAGTCTAGACCTCGGATTCGTGGAGGCATGTAGATTTCATGCTGAATGTGATGGAAACCTCCATGGGTTTCAAACAGATGGATAATGCGATCTCAACTTGCACCTTGGGCTGCTGGGGAAGGGACTGTGGGGAGCCAAGTGAGAGAAGGCACTAAGGGCGCATCTGTGGCCCTCCGTCACCACAGAAAGAACAGGCTATTCAGAACCTCACTTGGAGTGGGGGTACATTTCTAGAAACTCCTCGTTTGCTGTATGCTTTGTGAACTTAGGTAAGACACTTCACCACTCTGAGCCTTGCATTTGTTGGGTGTTTGCTCAGCGGCTGTCAGGGTTTCTGTACTGAGAGACAGTGGGCTTGACCGCCTTCCCATTTCAGCTCTGGCTGCAGAAACTGCAAGAATGTGAGCTGACAGCCCAGCCTGGGATCACAGCGAGGTCATGATGCTGTCCGGGTGAGCCGATTAAGCTGAGGGAGAGGAAAGACTGTTTATTCCCACACAGTGCCTCTTGCAAGCCGACAGCCTGTGCCCTGCAGCCAGATGCCAACCCAAACAGTCCTTTGCCTGTTTCTTCTCGGGGAGGGCAAATCCCCACTTCCTGTCCCTGGATCTAGTGTCTTAAGGATGGGGCAGGTGAGGGAGGAGGGGCCTGCCTGGGCCTCAATGGGCTGAGCAGTGGGGGAACCTGTGTCAGGCCTAGAAATAGCAAAATAAGTCTGTTGATCCTAAGCCGGCTAAGGGTGAGTACCTTCGTCTTAGAGAGAGGCTTTCTGGACACGGAAACTGGGGAAGGATTATGGTCACAGTCTTCCTGGAGGAGACCAAGCCCAGAGGCCTCTATGTCCTCAGAGCACAGAGGCAAGAGAAAATGATTGTGGGCTCTTTATGTGCACCTTCCTGTGTCTACTGCCCTTCTTGAGCAAGTCAATTATCTGGAAATAGCCCCACAGAGGCCCCTTTGAGAAGGGACCAATGAGTGGTCAGCTGAGCCAAGACTCCACACTGGAAGGCCAGGCTGGCCAAGAGCCAGGCCTTGCTACAAAAGTATGGCTGGCTGAGCAGGCAACCTCAATCATTTGCCTCTGGTTCTGTTCCCCGGGCCCTGCTCTCAGAGACATTCTTGTCTCTTCTCGAACTTGATCTCTCTGGATTCCTACACATCTCTTTTCTGTGCCCCTTCCCAGCCTCCCATGTAGCCCTGAACACGCTGTGCTGTCTTTTGCTCCTGGCGCCCAATACACAGGCCACGTGAGGCAGGCCTCACCCTCCAGACACTCCCGGGTGCCAGCCTGACTCAGAGGGATTACACCTGCCCTGGTCCTCACCCCCGGCCTCTGCTCGTCCCCAAGTCGAACGCCTCTGCCCAGCAACCCACCCTTCGTGACCGTGTTCGCTCCTGCCTCTTTCTCTGTGTTTGTCTGGTTTGGAAATTTACATCCCCCCCCCCCCCAACAGCCAACTGAAAAGGACACCACACTGCAGGTACATGAGCAAGGGGCCGGCGTGGCCCCTCACCCACAGTCCCCGGCCTGGAGGCAGGCCTATTCTTGCCGCGGCCTTTCCCTATCTTTCGTCATCTCTTAAAATACCTGGCGGTGCCCCAGGCTCTGGCAGGCGAGCCTGTGGGCTGCACTCATACCCTTCCTTGTGGACAGAGTGGGGTTATGATACGGGGCTGCAGATACTACAACTGCAGGGCTAGCTACCGTGGCTCGGACCCGGGTCGGAGGGCAGGACCCGAGACTACCAGAGAACGTGGGCCTCTGAACGTGGGCCTCGGCTGTTGCAGTTTTAGAGTTTTATAAACCATCCCCCCCCCCCAATCAAGTGGGGACGCGCGGGGGCGCGGGGACGTCTGCCGACGCACCGGAAGGATGCTGGAGCGGCGGTCCTTGGAGAACCCCGCTTGGGGTCCAGGCCTCGCGAGGAGCCAGGGGCCGCCGCGCAGGCCTCCCCCGGGGCAGCGGCCCTCGGATGCCCCTCGGACTCACCTTGGCGGCCACCGACGAGTTGGGTTTCTCCAGCAGGTCCCAGAGCTTCTTCCTCTTCTCCGCGCAGCAGGTGTTGTCGAACTCCTCGCCCTCCCGCTCGCGCAGGGTCTCGGCCTCGCGCTTCAGCTCCTCGTTCATCTGCTCCTTCTTCTGGTGGTAGCGGGCCTGGCAGCACGACTCCAGGTAGATCTCGTCGATGCCCCAGTAGTCCAGCTCCTGGCTGAAGCTCAGCGCGCACATCTCCTCCATCATGTGCAGCCGGCCGGTGCGGTAGAAGTTGAGGATGGAGGTGAAGGCGCCGGGGTGGCGGTCGAAGAAGTACTCGTTGTCCTCCAGGCTGTAATCGTCGCACACCTGCAGCAGGGAGTCGTGCGTGTTGCAGTCCCGGAGCTTGCCCAGCCGCGTGCGGGGCAGGCGGTCCAGCGTGCGCCACAGCACCTCGTGCGCCAGGCCCCCGACGTTGAGGCGCACCCGGCGCGAGCACGCCTTGCTGCGCACGATCTCCATGGGCTCCGGCGGCAGCGAGCTGGTGGAGCGCGAGCCATGCTTCGTCATGCCCGCCGGCATCGCTGGTCTGGCCGCCCCCGCCCCCCCCTGCCCCCACCCCAGGCCGCTGTCGCTTGACGGCGAGGCCCGCTGCCGCGGGGGCGGGGGGCGGGGAGCGCTGCAGGGCCGCTGTGCCGCAGGGGTGCTCGAGGGCGGGCGTCCCGGGCTACCGTCTCACCTCCATCCCGACGGCTGCCAGGCAGGAAAAAAAAAAAAAGAGAGAGAGAGAGAGAGAGCGAGAGAGCGGACGCGGGTCAGAGAGCCGCGCCGGGAGGCCCCTCCCCCAGGGCCCCCCCCCCCCCCGCTGGCCTTGACCTTCCCGAGGTTTAAGCGGCTCAGGGGAGTGGGGTGGGGGTGGGGGAGGGCCGCTTGGCCGCTGTCCCTCCCTCTGGTGCTGAAGTCAGCCCCACCCCGGGATGGAGGGAGGGGTGGCCCTCCCCGCGGGAGAGGTCCCCGGGAGGCTCCCAGGAAGCCCCGCCCCCGCCCTGGCGCAATCCGGCCGCCCGGGGCGCTGTCCGCCCCGTCGAGTGCTGAAACTCCTGCTCTGCGGCTCTCGGGCTGGAGCGCCCGGCCCAGCCCCGCAGCGGGGAGGCCGGGGAGAAGCCGGGAGAACTTTCTTTCTTTCTTTCTCTCCTCTCTTTAGTGAGTTCCCATCTCCTCCCACCCCGACAGGATCAGGATTTGGGGTGGGAGCGAAGCGACGGCATTGGGCTCGCTCCTCCTCAATATTAAGAGAATTTGGGGCGAGCGGGGATTGTGGCGGCTGCCAGCTGCCCACCTGTCGGAGGTCACCGGGAAGCCCTGTCCTGGGACGACCCCACTCCTCAGGGCACCGGGACCCGAGACCAAGGGGGGCAGAGCAGCCAAGCCAGCCGGGTCTGCGCCTCCTGCGCGACCCCCCCACCCTAGCGCAGGAGGGACGCGGAGTCCTGGGGATCCGCCTGCTCGGTGCTCCCCCTCATGCGCCTCCTCCCCGCTCCTCTCCCCTCCTCCCCCTCCTCCCGCTCCTCCTCCTCGCTCCTCCCGGCGATGGCTTTTTATAACTCCGGGTTCTGCGCCTTTGCCCGGGCTCGGGAGGGAAGGGGTGGGGGAGGTGGGAGGCGGGGAAAGCAGCGGAATCTTCTGGCCTCTCGGAGCGTGCCCTCCTCCCGCCACGCACCGGTGATTTCGGGGGGTTCCCGGGGCCCGCACGCCCCGCCCCCCGCCCCGGGGGGGGCCCGCATCACCTCCCCCGCCCCCCACCCCAGCCACACTCACCCCCAGGGCGGCCGGCTCCCGGGGCCGCGCCGCGCGCATCCCGCCGGCCGCCCGCGCCC